AAGAGTTCAAATTTAAAAAAGTTTCCTTCCCACTACAATGAATTTTTGGTTAATGATAGAAATAAATGGTTTGAATTTGTATTGTGTCAAATAAGAACAATTTTAATTCTCTACCCTGATTTAGTGTTATAGAGAATAATTGAGTAATCTCAGGTTTAATCCCTAAATCTGTAGTTAGGCTGGGAGGATACTGACTCTCACTCTAGAGCTCCCACTTTCCTTCCCCTGAAGACTAACGCTCGCTTTAGTTCTTAAGCACTAAAATTAAATTGGGGACTTTAGTTTGTCACCCTAAAATCTCCAATTCTATGCCTAACAATGTATATTTCCTTATTTATTTGCACCTAATTTCATGAATGAAACATCTCCATGGAATTAAATGTGATTCTCACTCTGTTGTAGAACTCATACTCCATTTACCAGATCATATGTTTCACAACAGATTTTAATAATTCAATTGGTCATATCGATTTTAATAATTCAATTTTAATAATTCAATTGGTCATATCGAGAAGTAAATTAAGAACGGAGTAGAAAAATCTTCACAATTTATTTTTTATTTTAAAATGGCACATCCAAATTATCTCTTCATTTCATTATATCTCAGAGTGGAAGGAAAGATAAAGTAGCCTACTTAGAACTCATAAGGAAGATACGACAAAACACAAATTTTATATATAAAAACAAGTTTACAAAATAAAGAAATGAAAGAACACAACTTATCTTAGACTCCTCAAGAAATTCCCTCGAAGTTCCCCTGTAGCACTTTCTTTCTTTACAATCAAACCTAAATTCTCTCTTAGAAGTGTAATGAAGAAGAAACCTCTCACATTTCTTCTCCTCTTACAATTCTTCAAGAAAATCCTCTCCACACACAATCCTCTCTTCTTCAAGAAAATCCTCTCCACACACAAGAATTTACTCTACAACACAGTCACACACACTCACACACACTCACACACACACACAAAAACCCCCACACACGCACACACATGAGAGGCGCCAAACCCTCTTTTTTAAAAAGACACAAATTCCCTCCTTTTATTAAGAGACAAATCTATTCATCCAAAAGACATGTCTCTTCATTTAATAGCCTTCTCCAAGTGTCTAGATGCATTGAATCACTTCATGGGGTGATTGAATCACTTGTGAGCCTTCTAAAACATCAAAATCCACCAAAAATTGGTCCATAACTGTTCCGGGAGCAGCCGGTGTCGGTCTGGGTGCCATCGATGACACTTTTCGTCACTTCTCTAGACTCGAGCGTCGTTGACGCCTATCTGGGCACCTTCGACGCTAGTCTGCAGCAGCTCCACTGTTTTGCTCCGTTTTGCTCCGTTTTAGCTTTATTTTGCCCCATTTCAGTAATGTTTCATTCCTAACATATAGACCTACAAAATAAACATGAAAAAAACCTTTCTTTAAAGTGTAATTTCATTAAAAAAAGTGTGAGAAGTGTAAATGATATTAAGCAAAGAAAGACATATCGAAATGTGTAGGACAAAATTTTATTTCTTGCTCGTTTTTGCTCCAAATTGCACCGTTTTTTCTTATTTTTCTCCAAAACTCCATTTCTATTTTTCTCCAAAACCTTATTTTTCTCCAAAACTCCATTTCTCATCCCTGAAACTAAAAATATGCAAAATACCTTCCTTTAAAGTGTAATATCATTAAAAATCATTGAGATTGAGCATACAATATATATAAAAAAGTTGTCATTTTTTAGGCGTATCATTGGTCTCATCTACTAATGTTTCTTCTGAATTGGACTACTATTTTTCTACATCAAAATTTTAGAATATCCTAAAGAAACTCATTTACATAATCTACCTATTTTGGTTTATAAAGATTGAAGTGTCACTTAAGGACAAGTAACATTTTAAGTTTGGGGGATTTTGATACACCTAAAATATATAGACTTTATGTACACATTTTTATATCTATATTTTGAGATATTGCACGTTAATGAAAAGTATTTGTGTGTTTTTCTTTCAGGTACAATTAAAAGGATCAAATTTAGAGAAAAAATTAAGAAGCTGTGTAATTCAACTAAGGCGCCTAAGCGCCCAGAACTGGCGCTTACACGCTAGTGAAACAGAGAAGGTTGCGCCTAAGCACCCAACACCTCACGCTTAAGCGCCAAAAGTAGTTACTTGATAATTAAATGAATTTAGATGATTTTTTGAAGAGGTGCTTGAAGCAACCCTTAGTGAAAACGTGGAATAGTTAATGGACACGAAAATACATTCAATTGGCTTTTGAAAGGAGACAACTCTTGGAATTCATTAAGTGTGGACACATTTTGAAGAGACACTAAAAAACCTTTTGGAAAATTATAAAAGAAGACTTGGATTGAAGAACGAGCAGATAACAACCCCCATTCCAGTCACCCACACGTTGCCGCCGCTGCCGCCCATAGCCGCCGCCACCACCACTTTTTTTTATTTTGAGTTATAGTTTTTATTATAAGTGAAAGAAGAAATTCAAAGGAACATTAAGAAATTGGTGCAGAGGATTTGAGATAAATTTTTATCTTTGTGACTACATCTGGTTTAAATTTTGATTTTTTGTTTGTTTGCATGAATTATATTTTTAAAATTAAGTGTGGTTGTGTTTTCTCCATGAATTCTGAGTAGTTTTCTTTATATTTTTCCTTAAAATGATAAGTGATTAAGTATTGGATGGAAGTTGTGTGAAGTATTAGTCATTAATGTTGGAAGAAGTTGTGATGAATTTAAACTTTGTACTTCATTTACTTCTTGATTTGACCAATTAAGATGTTAATATTTGTTGTGAGAACATGTAAAATCTGAGATGACATTGTCTCAGCCAACAATTGGTAAGAATCACATGAGGTTGTATGGTTGAGAATGTAATTCATATGATTGAGTACAAATAAATACGAAAATAAACTTTAAAGGGTGTAGAATTAGAGGACTTTAGAGTGACAGGCTAAAACCCCCAATTTGATTTATAGTTTTAGGTTTTGATACGAGATGTTAGCCCCCAGGTGGAGGGAGAAGATGAAACTCTAGAGTGAGAGCTAGTATCTTCCCTACCTAACCCGTCTTCAAGACTATTTAAACTTTAAATTAGTCAATGTTCTTTTTAGCATCTTTAGTAAGGGTAAAGAATATTATTGCTCCTATTTGACATAATACAATTTGAATACTTTCACAACAAAATTCATATAATTGTTATTGATTCATGATAAAGAAAAATATATTTTATTTATATTATCTTCATCTTATAAATATCTAGTTAAATTTAGCGAGTTGTTTATTTTACTTTTAAGTATAAAAAATTACAAAAAGAATAGAATTTTCATTCCTATTATAACATCTAAAGTTGAGTAAGAATATTTTGCTAAGTAGAATTTGTTATCTAATTTCTTCTAATTTTAGTTGCATATTGTAGTTGTCCCTGTGGGTTCGATATTCGGGGCTTAATCAAAAAGTCCTATATTACTTGATAACGATATATATACTTGCGTAGTATCTCATTATTCTTATTTGCTTTGATATTCTTATTTGCTTTGAAGTCAAGTTTTTTTGCCTAGCTATTGCTGGGGATCAAGTTTTTGGCACTGTTGTAAAGTAAGAATTATAAGTAAGGAAAAATTAAGAATATAATTGCATACATCACATTGACATATAAAAGTAGGGATCAAGAGCTTGAACAAAATTTGAATGATTGGAGGTTCTTGTGAAGGATCAAAGTCTGGTGTCCATTTGAGAATTTTCATTGGCTGGCCCTCAATATGCATAATTTCCTTGGAGAAGATCTTAGCAGAGTCCTCTTCTTTCACAAGTTGAATCATCACATGCCTACCATCAAACAATCCAACTTGCCATGAGCCCAAAAGCTTCAAATCTTCAAATGTTTTTCTGATTGCCTCCGTCTTAGGGTGTCTCGAAGGAAATTTTTCTGTGAGAGTAAATTTACATTTCTTATTGATTTCAGTAACTTCAACATCAGTAAAGATAAGGGCAAGCTTCCCACTTTTCTTGCAACCTTTTTTAAGCAAAGGGCAGTCCTCATTACTCTCAAAGGAATCATGGTAGGCTTGCGGAAACAACAGTTTGTCTCCCAAGCTAGAAGCACCCGTACCTACTACTTCAGCAAAGGAGGATTTACTAATAAAGTTGACTTAAGTGAGTGTAGCTTCCATAGTAAGTGGAGAAAGTGAGGGAAATGCAACAAGAGCCAAAGGAACAATAACCAGCTGCAAAGTTTGAAAAACCAGCAACCTGGGAAACTTCAAAAGTAACAAAAGACTTAGAAAAGATGAACCAACCTCCAAAGTGCACCAAAAGGACTATGAATGAGCGGGAAAGGCAATGGAGAATCCACCAAAGCGCAAAGAAGCAACAACCGCCATTGCTAGGGGTTAAACCCTAGCAGAGCAATTTCAGTAATTAATTAATTAATTAATTAATTAATTAATTAATTAATTAATTAATTAATTAATTAATTAATTTTTTAATTTATACACACAACACTCACATCGTTAATATCATGTAAAAAATATCACAATTGTAATTTTTAAAAAGTGCAATACACTTTTTCCTACACATGCTTAAAACATCAAAGTGATATGTATATAAATATAGAAATTTTATATTGAGATATGCATGTAAATATATACGTAGAAAAATCAAACATAATAACTATTGACCCAAATCCAACCTCAATCATAAATAGGTAGAAAAATCAAACACGAGATCGAATCACTATTCTTTAACATATACATAATAACTATTCAGGCCAAAGTTGAATTAAATTTGAGTCAATTTTGAATAGATATTGGGTTAATTTTAGATTAACAGATCAGTTTCAAGCCAATTTCTGATTAGCCGGTGAGCTTCCAATTAAATTCCATTTTGCGCATTAGAATTTCTAACCTGAATCTGATTAAAACATTATTCGGTTAACCTGAACTCAAACATTTTTGAGCTATGCGCTCTTGTGTTGGGATGCTAGATTTATTAAGATTAAAAATTGTGAGGTATTTTATGTAAACTTCTTTCGAATTTGTGCAGCCTCCGAGTCCCGCACTCACAATTCCATTCTTCCATCCTTGCGACTTTACCCGAAAACTCCTAAACTTGCAGCGATCTTCTCGTTTTTCAATCAATCCTTAGGGTTTCGAAGCGATGGCAGAGCATTTGGCATCAATTTTCGGGACGGAAAAGGATCGTGTGAATTGCCCCTTTTACTTTAAGATCGGGGCCTGCCGGCATGGGGATCGGTGTTCTAGGCTACACACCCGGCCGAGCATCAGCCCAACACTACTCCTTTCTAACATGTACCAGCGTCCCGACATGATTACCACAGGCGTCGATCCGCAGGCCCAAGCGATGGATCCTCGCAAGATCCAGGAGCACTTTGAGGTCAAACCCTAGCAAATTGTGCACCTCATTACTATATATTTGTTTTTATTGTTCTTTATATTCTGTATCATAAACTATTAAATTTGTTGTATTTTCCTAAATGGATACATGTTTTCCATTTTAAAACAACTAATGATGGGATCTTACTAACATATGATTACTTCTTGTAATCTATCGAGCTAGAGCATCGGTCAGTAGTTACAGCATGTTTATAAATCCACAAGCAAGGAAAATGTTAATATGTAGTATGTTAACTGAGAATCTTCGCGGGAAACACCATGATAAATTCAACCAACAAATATTCGTTCTTATTAGATAATAGTAGTTAGCCAGGGAAGGCGTCGTGGATAAATTGATGAGGAAATGGATGAAGAGATTGGCGTAAGATTTAGTCATGGAAAGGTAAAGAAAGGTCGGATGTGGCTAGCGAACTCCAAGACCTTTGGGATTAGGACCTAATATGAACCTAACTAGTCGTTTGTTCATGGATGCAAAAATTGAAGTGATAGAACGAAGAAGAATATGAGAAGAGCAAGGGTGCTGGCGCAAGTATGAAAGAACTTAAGATTGGGGAGGTTTTCTCTTGTTTTTTTCTTCCATGTTCGGTTCCCAATCAATGCATGTAACCATTTCCTAGAAAGCGAGTGCCTCCATATTCTATCCTAGCGCTGTGAAATCTAATAATTAGGATTTAATGTTAATAAAAAATCTTTGCAAAATCTAAATTAGAACTTTATATACGTTTGATTTGGAGTCTATTTTTGAGGTGCTTACAAAATCTAAATTGTTTATCCTGAGGATGAATTTGGTTGTAGATTTGGTTTCACGTTAGACATTTGGACAAAATGGTTCATCATTTTTGTGATGTCCCAAAATTCATTCTTACCCTTCACTTTATTTTGTTATTATATTGGCCTTTAATTTTTATTCATTTCAAAACCCTATTTGCGAGCGAAATCCTTCTGCATCTTGTAGATAGAGTGGAGAATAACTTGCAAGGGTGAACTAAGCATGCTTTCATCCTTTGTCAACCCAGTGAGATGTTGACAAAGAAGTTAAAGCTATCGAGTAGCATACATGAGGAGCCATGATGTGTACCTTCTAGTTCTCTTTATGGTGTTTACATGTAAAATTTGATTTGTTGCATAAATTTTTGGAATCTTATTTCCCTATTAATATATTTGATTTTTCCATTCCTAGATAAACCAACATATTATTTTGAAAATGGCCCATGAGGGGAAATTTGCATAAAAAACAAATTAGGATTCAATCAATTTTGATGTAGAAATATGTCATGTGTTTGAAGAAGAATCTTGGTCCTTGTGTTTGAGCTTATTTAATTTTTTTTTCATTTATTTTTTTATTGATTCAATTTTCAATTTAGTAATGATTTTTTTTCTTAATACATCAAAATAATTCAATTAGGTTATTTGAATTATCCTATTTTAGAGCTCAAGTTTATTTCTGGGTATACCCCTCGTACTTAGCACTTGTAATTTCTTACAACACATGTTAAGTGCCAGGACTAGGGTTGTAATTGAGCCGAGTCAAGCTGAGTATATCATAGTTCAGACTTGACTTTGTATAATTATAAGTTGTTCATGTTCGCCTTGAGCTTGTGTCGAGCTTTCATATATTGTTTAAACGTGACTTCTTCAATGTTTGAATTTGATTTGTACTTGATTTGCTTACGATAAGTGAATGAGTATTTAAATGAGCTAAAAATTCAAACACGCATCTTGATTTTTATATAAAAAAATCAATAAATAATTTTATAAATATGATCGTACTTATTAATCTATTGATTATAAACTTTTAACCTTACAATATCTTAAATCTTGTTTCTCCTCCATTTTGTCCTAAATCACTCACTTATGGTCTGTTTAGTAGAATGACTTATATAGCATTTAAGCATGATTTAACCAAAAATTTACCAAGCAACTAAAAACGACAACTTTAAAATTTACATGAACTTAAATCCTGTTTTTCCTCCTTTTTGCTCTAAATTAATTAAGTAGCACTAACAAGATTTTAACCTAAATCCTACCAATCAACAGAAAAGACAAAATAAAGCACTAAAGGACCTTAAATCCCATTTCTTTGTCATTTTTTCTTAAATCCTGGATATTTTCTAAACAACAAAATGACAACTTTAAACCATACAAGATCTTAAATTCCTTTTCTCCTCCTTTCTGACTTAAATCTTGAATATAGTAGATGAAATTTCAAAGAAAATTTATAGTATTTAAAGATGTTAAAGCATGTGAAGTGGGATGCGAAGAAGCATGAGAAATATAAGGGTTAATCAGGTGGTACTTAGGAGCATAGTGGAAAGGGGAGACGTACCAAAGACTAGGGTTTCTGAGTTCCTTGCATGCTACAATCCCATCATTGCCTTTGTTACTTGCTCGACCAAGAGATTCAGAGTTTCGTATGCTTCGGGCGAAATGAGAGACGAAACTGTGAGAGGCTGGAGGGAAAGTGAGGTTTTCTGGGGTTTAAAGTTAATTTTAAGGAGCATTTCATACACATCGCACAAGTTTTATGTATTGTCACTTCTAACACCTAAAATTTAATAAAATACATGTATGATTAATAATTATATATTAATAAAATAAATATCTAATTAATAATTAATCTAAAAGTATTATTGATATTAATATATTACTATTAAATATATAATTAAATAAAATCTAGTTAATTAAATTTTATTTCAATAATTTATCATATGTTATACGAGTTATTATAGAGCTTAATATCGAGTATTATTGAGCTTCATATCGAATATTTAACAGACTACTTATTGAACAACAAACGAGTTTGCTCGTGAACGAAAATGAACAAGTTCGACTGTGCTCATGGTTAGTTTATTTAAGCTTCGTGCTTTTAAAAAATTTTCTAGCTTTTTTATTTACTAATTTGAGCGAACATGATTGAGTCTTAAACGAGCTGAGTTCGAGTTTTTCATTGAGTGCATTGGTTCATTTACAACCCTAGCCATGACCAAATAAATAAAAATAGCTCGAGTTAATACTTAAAATAGCATTTCAATTGGAGGTCTTCGTTATAGAGATTGTATAATTTTCTTTTTCTATTATTTTTTTCTTATTTATATGCTTACACACATGTATGCTTACACTCACATTGAGTGCATGCACACATGCACATACACACACCATCCATATACACAAGCACACGCTCACCCACTTTTGCAAGCAAGCACCCACACACACGTGCATTCACATAGATGTATGCATGCATTACAATATGTCCACTAATGCCCATCTCTCTAATTTTTCAAATGTCAAGGTTTGTAGCTACTTGAGACTCAATGTCAACTCTTGCTATAAATACATGCCACCTTCACTTAAAACCCACATTGCCCAACTTCAAACCGGCACTCTGCCATTAACCCAGTGCATCAACCACCTTGCTGAAGAAGTTAGTTGTTATTGACACCAACAATTTCACTGTGGAAATCTCGCATGCTCATCCAACCATTCTTCAAAGGATTGTTGTTGATTTGGCAATTAACTTTTCTGCTACAGCTCCTGTCCTTATCAGCCAAAGGTCGTCAACCTCCAATCTTAGGAGCACTCTGCAGAGAAGCTGTTTGATTCCTAGTTATTGGGCTCCTCTATTTCATCATTTCAAGAATCCATCTTCAATGCAGTCATTCAACGTTGGGTCAAATTCTCTTCGTTGTTAGTGCCCTCAATCTCCATTTGTTGGTTTAAGTCTGCATTGCCGCTGCCTAGCTACTCATTCAGCTCGGTTGGCGCTGGAGCACCTCTTATCATCATCAGCCTCTGCTGACTCTTCTACTAAGCTAATATGATAACATTCCAAGATGGTTTCATTGACCTTCTCATTTTGGACAATAGACATATTTTCATACCATTTTGGCCTTCATTTTTATCAATCAATAAAGGTGATCGAGGGACTTAGATTTAAGAAGTAAAAAAGTAGAAATTGAGACTTGGTTCAACACCGCATTTATGAAACAAATTAGTTGGTTTAACATCAAAATGGCTTAATTATTGACTAAATCAGCTAAGTACCAAATTTTGGACAAATCAATGCACTGCATTATCTGAGCAATCCGCAAGTCTTTTCTGTTTTATGGGTTTTTTCAGAAAACCTGCATGCAAAATTAGGTGTATTAACATTGATCACCTGAATGATAAACCCATTTTCAGATTATCAATAAAAATCTTAGGTTCTTCCATTCCATTTATTTTTTATTATTTTTTGACAATAGTTGAGAGGTTTCTGCTTAGCCACCTTTATGCAGTCTGCTAGCAACAAGGTAATTTCTTGTTGGTGCCATCAAAATGTCTTATTGTTCTTCATTATTTTTTTTTTCATTTAATATGAGGAGTGGAGGAAGAGTAATTTGGGCTTCATTTTTAAGAAAAAGGGGATGCACAAGAGTGTGTAAATTTTAGAGGAATTAAGTTGATGTGTCATACTTTAAAATTATGGGAGAGGGTAATTGAGCATAGTTTAAGACGCATTACAAAGTTTTCTTATAATCAATTTGGATTTATGCCGGGCAGGTCTACCATGAAAGCTATACATTTATTGAGAGGTTTGATGGAGAAGTTCAGAGATAATAAGGAGAATCTACATTTGATTTTTATTGATATAGAAAAAGCTTACGATAAGGTTCCAAGAGATATCCTTTGGAGAGTTCTTGAGAAGAAAGGTGTTGATATGACTTATATTCAAGTCACTAAGGATATGTATACTAGATCTGTTACTTGTGTTCAAACTGTAGGAGAATTGACCAAATATTTTCCTATATTTGTTGGATTACATCAGGGAACGACTTTAAGCCCATATCCTTTTGCTTTAGTTATGGATGGTTTTATTGGACATCTACAGAAGGATGTACCTTGGTGTATGCTTTTTGCTGATGATATCCTTCTCGTGGATAAAACGAGAGAAAAAACTCAGGAAAAAACTTGAATTATGGAGGTCTACATTGGAGTCTAAAG